TTAAGAATCCAACTAAGAAGCATGATGCAGAAAGTGACAATACTAGTGTTTGACATAATTGCATTAGATGTCCCTAAATCTTAACCCAAACTGAAAAGTAATTTCATTAGTTCCATTCAAAGCTGTTATCATTTTTAAAGCAGGTACTGTGCAGTCTCCTGATAAGTGCCAGTTGATCTAAAATTGTTTTTAAAGGCTTTTACTGCATGCCAGTGGTGATCTATTAAGTCTAAAGGATCCTAATTTTGCATAGGAGACATTGCAATTTTAGCACTTTGCTGCAAACACTCAAGTAGAGAGGGACAAAAGGCAATTCAGATGCTCAGCTTGATTTTGAACAACAACCAGCAGAAGAAGGAAAACCATTAAGCTTTCCCCACAGAATCTGTTGTGACAAAAGGATATTGCACACACAGAAAGCATCCCCCCTTCTCTTTCCCCTACCCCAAAAGTTACCAGCACTTTTCCTCATTCCCTCCAACTGAACAGATACACAAAGTACATCAACAGACTTTGTGATGCAAGCTCCAGTAACACAAGGGAAATATAACAATGTAGCTGGTAAGAATAGTGTTTCTCACCCTGGCTCTGTGAGGAACATGAAATCTGGTAGACTAAGTCTAAAATGAGAGATGATCCGGCCCTATTTAACATATGTACAGTGTTTACACTCTGACACGCTTTTGAATTAAGTTCTATATGGAGCTGACATAATAGATAGTATCTGACAACATGGTTATGTGAAAGCCACATGGAGATGTACTTCACAGTGCCCTGAATCTGTCAGATAACTCCTTCACAATAATGTTGGCCTCAAGCTTGAAACATGGTTCAAAAGTCACGAAAGTTGAAGTAATTGCTCTTAGTCTTTTCTCCTCTTTAAAATTGGCAACTCTATTTGTGGTTGAAATAGCTAGGCTGCTGACACAACTGTACTCATTTAGAAACCAAATATTTGTAGAATAAGTACAATTTTTTCAGAGAAAAATACTGTCACAATCAAGCCTACCATTTTCTCTTTTAAATAAAAACAGTTTTTTCATGTCTTTTGTGGCTGTGCCAGCTGTAAAACGTTCTTGAAACATTCACTGCACACCACCAAAACCTTAAGGAGTTTTTCATTCCAATAATTAAAATGTAGGAAAAAAGAAGAAAATTAATTTATCTTTAAATCCCTTTCAACAGCAAAGCCATCCTACTCAAGAGCTGCAGAGAGCTAACTAAGCTCCTTAATTCCCTCCTGTTTAACCCTCTCCTGAAGACTGATGTTCTAATGAGATATCATTAGAAGACTATGTCCTTTGCCACGAAGCCTTAAAAATTATTCCTCAGAACAGTCCAGGATAAAAACAAGACACGTAACTCCTGTACAGCTGGTTAACACAATGCAGCTTGGGAGCTTGTATACTTTTCTACAACAGGCAAGATACTGAATGACAGGTCTGCCTCCAGGCAGGTCACAGAGATCAAAAAGACCCACCCAAAGAGAAGGAAACCTTGCTATAACTGTTGGGACAACAGAAACCCAGACACTGCAGTGGTTTATAAGTCTAGCACTTGGTTCAGCACTGCCGAATTATTTTTTTTCTCCTGTGGCTGCCTGCCAATGAACAAAAGATAATCTTGCACCTAACCAATCCAGACATTAAATGCACAGGAAACCTTATCTTCTGACTTATGACAGAAGATGACAAGCAGAGCTGGCGAAAATAAAGACGCAGTGCCCTAGGAGCCAAGGGCAGCAACTCTAAGTGCAGCAGGATTTTTAACACCCAACCAACTATTCATCTTGGCACTAGCAGTTGATTCATCTGCTTTGCCAGCCACAGATGTCACATTGAGGAAAATCTCACTTGGACAGCATAACACAGAAAAGAAACTGAAGACCACACAATGTTCTTATTCATTCTGTCTTGACACATATGAAAACAAAATCTAAATCAACCCACATCCTACCGAAACAAATCCTCAGGTGGTTGTTTCTGTTTCAGATATGCAAAACTTGCTCAGTAACTATTCACCTTAAAATAATTTCTACAAACACAGTGTAAGCGTCTACATAAAACATGCTCTTAATAAAAAAATCTGTTATTCTTAAAGTTTAAAAACCTAACCTATGCAGAAAAAGAAGGAAACAAACAAAACCCTATCTAAACTAGACACAAATGTGTCAAAAAGATTATTTCCTGACCACTATTCAGCCAGCAGGTGAAACACAGCAGCACCTTGATTTAAGCACACATCACGCAGTTAAGCATTGCAAAGGGCCAAAGCTAGACTGGAGAAGGAATCCTTTCCATGGCCATTTCTAGTCTTAAATGCAACATATTCAAGTCAAAAGCTCTGCTGTTTGTGTATGCAAAGTTCACCTCAGTTAAGTCCATTTATAACAACATTCAAGTATTGACTAACTTTATTTTAGTTAAATTATAACAGATTATTAAAACTAAATGAAGACAGAACTGCTGACACAATTCCATCAGTACAAGAACTCAAACTCATTTACATGCAGGCTAACTGCAAGTACTTCATTTTTTCTAAGTGACTGTACCTTAACAGTGATGTACACACCACACTCCATGAATAAGCTCTGCTGCATTGTAATTTTGTTTTTCAAACAGCAGCCCAAGCAGTCTGAAGAGTTTCACACAGAGCAAGTACAGCATCCAAACAGGAGGAAGACGTTAAAAATGTTAAAGCTTGTTCACTGGAAAGTTTCCCCATCACTACATTTTCCAGTAACAAAGATGTTGTCAGAAATGACAATTTTTCGTGTCCCCTGATGATGCCTTGCTAGCATTTGGTTATAAGCCATAAAGCAGGAATAATTTCAGCCTGTCAGGAGTCTAGCTAATGCCCAGTTTCCCCCTAGAGAGAATTCCTGTCAAACGTAATGAGAGCTCCAAAGGCCCTTTCTACAACATAATGAGCACTTAGGCCATGCTGGTGATCAGCCAGCAAAAAGCATCAATTTGAGCCTGGCTACACCCTTGGGGGTAGACGTCACCAGTTAATAAGAATTATGATTACTATCTGTCAAAAGGCTCCTCAGAACTTATCGTTAGCAGTGGAAATTCAGAAAGAATGTCATTGTTAGGGTTTTGGGGGGTTTTTTTCCTTCCTGTAATCTAAGGCCACCTACATACTGAACTGCAACACCATTTGGCATCCTCACTGCAGGCATCTAAATCAGCAGCCTTTAACACGAAGGTGTTACTTTCACCAGAAATTAGAATTACTTAACATGTAAAAGCATAGTATATGAGACTCACAACGAGAGAAATGTATTTGTACCTTCAAAAGCCTATTATTTTCATAACAGCACGCACAGAGCAAGTGTGCATGACTCTCCCCGGCTACAACTAACACAGATATAATGTTCTGTCATAAATCTTAAAAGCTTCCGAAGTATCACCGCCTACTGGGTACATAATTCTAATTGCCATACATACAGAACATTAAAACTTTATACATATGTTAAGGTCAAAGTGGGAACCTTAGTTCTCACCCACTTGAATCCTGTGGGTTTAATTGATTTTGCCTAAAGTTAATTCCGAGTACACTAACTGAAATCACACATTCTCTTCCAAGAGCTCCTGATAATAACATCCATTTTGCAGCAAATGATCTCCCTATACAGATACTGGCTTCCTCACAGGTTACAGTATGACAAGAAGTTGTTGAAGAGAAAAAAATGCAAGAAAATCTTTAAATCACAAAGCTATGAAAAGCCACCTCACAGGAAAATGGACATTCTTCTAAAACACAAGCCACAAGAAAATTTGTTAAGCTACAGTACAGAACCAAGTCAATTACTAAGCTTGCTATTCCATCTGGTTATTTGGTGCATTATTAAAAAAAAAAAAAGGTTGTCACAATACAACTTCTTTTAATGGCATTTTGAATTGCAACAAGCAAAAACCCTAAAGAAGACCTACCCAGATTTGAAGATAGAAGGCTATCATGGAATTACAATGCCATCCTACCAAATACGACATTTTTAGGAAAAAACAAAACAAACAACAACAAAAAAAAAATTCAAAGAGTTTAGAGCTACAAAAGCAAAACTCAACTCTGTAATTCACTTGCTTAATGAATGTCTTTGAATATACTGAAGATCTGAAGCCTGAACTAATCAATTTCTTCGCTGTGCCCTAGCCGGTCAGCCATGCTCTTTAATTTAATGAAACAAGAGTTTTAGATGAAATAGCATATACACATCAAGAAAGAATAGTATTGTTGCACTTTGAAATGTGTCCAACTGTGCAACTTCATCTAATGATAATTTTTTTAAGAGGCCATCGATTTCTGAAAGACTTATTGTACTAGCATCTTGATGAAAAAGTGAATGTCAGCATATCTACAGAATACTTACACCCTGCCATTAATGCTTTATTTGGCAGACAATGACTACTCAATTGAGGGTCCTCTGGGCTGTGCAATCATTTAGCTTTTCTTCTCTTATGAGGTCCTTAGTGTCTTGTTCCAGTTCAATACTCTTTTTATTCACCATTATAGTGGCCATAAGTGTGAATTTTATGGGAACTTGCAAACTCATAGTCATAACTAGAGCTTTCCAAGTCACTAATCTCTTCATACCTTTATAAGGCAGGGATTTGAGTAACTATGACTACATATGCTACACAGACACAGGATCAGTTCTACATGTCAGCGCCTCTACCAGTAACAAAACAAACAAACAAAAAAACCCAACCCAAAATACCTCGAACTTGTAAAGTACTAAACTGCATTTTTCAAACCACAGACACAAGATCCTTCCTATTAATGCCAAAGTATTTCAGAACCAATACAACCAATACAAAAAAGGTATTGCTGCTTAACCTAATCTACACCTCATCTGACAGGAGGTAGGCAAAGGTCTACTAATCAGGCTATAAATCAGGCTATTGATTCAGACACGATACAGTCAACTGAGCATAAACAGCACAGCTACATTTAAATGCACCAGAGACTGCGGCTTAGAAAACAAAATGTCTTACCTGTTTGTGCATTTCAATGTTTAATCCATACGACATTTCATAGTACTGCAAATAAATGAGCATACATTATTTTCTTATGCTGACTTACATTTTATTAGGAGATATTTACTGAAATAAAGATAAAAACAAATACACTTACCATCACATAATGCCTCTGCATTTCCGTCTTTTCACTTGCCAGTTTCTCACATTCCAATTTAAGGCTACAAAATAGATCATGCTTTAATGTAACATGTCATTTTTTTGGCATCTACCCTCTCTATTTGTATTTTGACAGAAATTGCTAATTAAAAAAACTCAAACTGACTTGCAATATAGAAAGACTTAATCATACTTGAAATAAAAAGGCCAAAGAAGAAATTTAAAGAACATTTCATAGGTGCTGTATGAGGCCTGAACTGTCTACAGAACCTAAACATATCCACTCTTCATACTTTGACAAAGAGCTGTTATCAAGTGCTGCAACTTACAAGTTAGAATAGGATCTGAATTTCCTGTAAGTACTTCTCAGGAGTAAAAAAAATAAAAATAGAGGCATTTCTTTCTACACAGCGTTTAGTAAATGACTGCCATGTAACACCACTCACATTTACAATTACAGCTTGAGTATAATCCTTACCTTAAATATATTCTAGCAAATGTTACCTTGCCCAGTGCTTGAAAAGTGGTAATTCTGACCATCATTTACTGTCTAGTTTATTTTCCATTTTTTGTTTTCATAAACAAAAGTAAGCTGCATTTGCATGTCTCATCACAAACTATTATATAATTCTGACTACTTTCACCTTTTCATAAACAAAAGTAAGCTGCATTTGCATGTCTCATCACAAATTATATAATTCTGACTACTTTCACAGAGAGCATCAATGTCCCCTTTGTTTTCCATCAAACTGATTTTTTTAATGATACTTGTGAGCTTCCTATAGAACAGTTAGTGTGCAAGCACTATTTTCCACTCACACAAAGCCATATGTTTAGAGTTTACATTGTATTTCTTAAGCAATAAATGGCTTAAGCAAGTTAAGACTACAGTATCATAGGTAAAGGAAGAGGAAGAAACATAACTAAAACCAAGCAATTTCTGACTGGGAAACTTGTAAAGCTTTTACTTCTCTCTAAATCTTCCAGGTGCACGTAAGTACAAAATCAATGAAGATTAATGCTCCTTAACACCAGATGACCAGGGTCAAAAAGCACCTGTACCCTAAATCTCTGAAAGGACCTCAGCAGCAAGCACACACCCACAAAGAACTTCTGAAGGGCAGAGCAACAACGAGGAGTGCATCCCGCAACTTCCATGGATTCTGGTAAACTTTGTGTTACCACTCTGAGTACTTGTGTGTTTTAACTGTCCTCCCTGGCTCTCAACCACAGGACGCTGGCATTTTATTAATTTTTGCATTGACACCACACACAAATAAGCAAACATGAGAAGTAGCCTCCTTAACGCGCTGTGCCACGAACTGGGGCAGGTCTTCTCGTGATATACTGAAATAACCCCTCCACATACGGCTTCCCAAGACACACTGTATTTTTTGAAATGCACAGAGGTGCCGGGCACTGCAGTTCCGACAGTTCAGCTCCCGCAGCTGCCCGGGGAGCAGGGGCCCGTTCGGGGCAGGGCTGTCTCCCCGCACGCTCCCCGTTCTCCCGGAAGCCCGGCCGCGGACCGGGGCTGCCCCCGCTCCCCTCTGGGCCCGCCGGGGTCCCTCGGCGGGGCTCCGCCGCGACGCCGCACGCCACCGCCTGGACGCGCCCGTCCGCTGCAGCCCCCCGCGCCCCGCCGGGGACCGGGCGGCACTCCCTGGTCTCGGGGCGGCCCGCCGGCGCTCACCTGTGGTACTGAGCCTGGAGGAACTGGAACTCTTCTTTGATGCGGTCCAGCGACTCCGGGATGGTGAATTTGAAAGGCTGGCCCGCAGCCTGGTGCGGGGTCTGGCGCGGTGGCGGCACGGGAGAAAGATGCACGTTCAGACACTGCGCGGCCGCCCCGCGGGCGAGAGGAGGCGGCGCTGTCCATCGCGGCCGGGCCGGAGGGATGGAGAGAGCGCCCGGCCCGGTCCGCCCCCGCCCCGCGGCGCTGCGCACTTGTTACCCACCTTCCCGTCCCTCATCTGCGGTGGGGCCGAGACTAACCGCGCTCCGGCTCCGACCCACCCGCTCCTGCCGCCGCCGTCTACACGAAAGCGGCAAGTGCCGGCTCCTCCCCGCCGACCCCCGCCGCGGAGGCACAGCCAGCCCCATTCCGGGCGCTGTGTTCGGCGGATGCTGCCTGGTCCGGCGGCGACCCCCCGCCGTCCTGCCCAAGGCAAGTAAGTTGCCCACGCATCAAAAGTATTGGGGGCCGCTCCGGCAGGCAGGATGAGCCGCTCGACCCCGGAGAGAATGAACTTGTGAGGGCGCCTTCCTCTCCCTCCCCCACAGCTCCAGCCGAGCAAGCGAGCTGGAGGTGCGCTCGGGACCGCCCGGCCCTCGCCCCGCGCCCCGGACCCGCGGAGCGGCGGCCCAAGCCGTACTTACGGGGTGCCGGCTCTGGGGGAACATGGCTCCGGCCGCGGCGGGTCTCCCTCGCAGCGCGGCTCTCGCGGCGAGACTCCCCGCCCTACCCCGGCTTCACACCCGGTGCGCCAAGGGGACAGGAGCGGCGACGCCCGCCCACCGCCTTCCCTCCGCCGCCGCGGGCAGCAGCGGGGCAAGGCGCGGCTCACTGCCCCCGCCGCGGGGACATTCCCCAGCCGCGGCGTCCTTTGTTGCTGTTGTTCCAAGGAGGGCTGAAGGTGGCCGGGAAAGGCGGACGGGCCGCGCTTGGGACGGTCACCAGCGCCCCGCGCTCTTTCGGCTGCGCTTCGACCGGCGGGCGGCGCCCGCAACGCCCGGGCGGCGGGACGGGACCCGACGGGGCGCAGGGGGAGGCAACAGCCGCCCCTCGGCGGGAGCCAATAATCCCCTCACGGACTCGCAAGTGGTCGATGCGATTGTAAGGCCGGAAACCCCAGGCGGAGGCGACTCCCTTCTCCTCTTCTGCCCCTTGTCAAAAGGGGAAAACCCAGCCGTAAGGAGCGGATCGCAGCGTCCGCGGCGGGACCGTCGCAAGCCAAAGAAAGTCTCCAGGCAGGGACGCGTTGCTCGCAGGCGTCGGCGCAGGGGCCAAACCACCGGCCAGACACAGAGCGATGAACAAGGGAGGAAGGCAGGAGGAGGAGGAGGAAGGAGGCGGGCGGGGGCTCTTGCACAGCCGTCGCCGATCGGAGCAGCTCCAATAGCACATGCACGAAACGCTGGAGGGCAGGGGAAAGGGTACCACACACGCAGCAGACTCTTCGTTAGGTGCAGAGAAGTCCCCAAGACAAAAGAAAAGCAAACCCCTCACGATGCTCGTTCGCCTTAGCGTCCAGGCAACCAGCCTCGTTGAGAAAGATTAAAAAAAAAAAAAAAAAAAAAAAAAAAAGAAAGCGTCCGTTTGAGGTTTAAATCAGACGGGAAGCTCCTTCGTGCAACAGCACCACTACAGCCTCTTACAGACGGGCGCGTATCTGGGAGCCGGGCGTCTCACCAGAGCCCCCCGAGCGCGATACATCGCGGCGACATCAGCAGCATCATCCTCATCCTCGGTCTCCTCCGCGGCGGCTCGTCGCTCCTCGTCGACCCGGGATAAAGTTCCCCCCTCAGCTGAAAAATCCGAACCCGAGCGTCCGGGAACACCACCGGCTTCCTTTGCCCCGTCCCCTCCGCGCCGGCCAAGGGCAAGGGGAAGCCGAGGCGGCGGCCTGGCGGGCGGCGCTCGGCGGGACCCGAGCGCGGCTGCGGCCGAGCTGGACACGCCGAGCTCGCCCGCGCCGCTTACATTAGCACGCGGTTTCACACTCCGCCGGCTAACCAGCCGCGCGGCCCCGCCCACGCCGCCGCGCGGGGGGGCGGCCGCCCAATCGCCGGCCCCGCCGCCAACGTGGGCCCGTGACGCGCCGCGGCCCCGCGGCCCAATGGCGCGAGCCGGAGTCGCGCCGCCTCTCGGCTTTCGCTGGGAAGCGTCTCCGTGGCGGAGCGGCGGCAGCGCTCGGAGCCGGCCAATGGGAGGGCGCGGGGCGCGCGGCGCCGCGGGGGGGCGGGGAAGGTCGGCGGGAAGGAGAGCGGGGAGGCCGAGCTGTCCATCAAAGTAACGTGGGGCCCTCGCGGGCCGCCTGCGCGCGGCGCCTCAGCCTCGGCCGGAGCCGCCGGGCGGCCTCGTCCCGTGAGGGCAGCGCCTTCGTACCGCACACGGCCCGCTCCGCACACTGCCCGCACCGCGCACTGCCCGCACCGCGCACTGCCAGCCCCTCACAGCTCTCACCGCGCACTGCCCGTTCCACACACAGCCTGCACCGCACACAGCCCGCACCGCGCATTGCCCGCACCGCGCACTGCCCGTTCCACACACAGCCTGCACCGCACACAGCCCGCACTGTCCGCACCGCACGCTGCCCTCACCGCGCACTGCCCGTCCCGCACTCTGCCCACACCGCTCTGCCCGCACACTGTCCGCACCGCACGCTGCCCTCACCGCGCACTGCCCGTCCCGCACTCTGCCCACACCGCTCTGCCCGCACCTCGCTGCCCCAGGAGCTGGTCGGGCGCACGGACCCGCCTCGCTCGCCAGACGACGGCGGCGGGACCGTGGCACCTGCTAACAATGCGCCACGGAAAGCGCCGAGGCCTTGGAAGGATGAGCCGTCCCGCGGGCTTGCGCGGCTCAGGGCACGCCAACTGCTGCGTTGGTTGGAGTGACCCTCTGATCAGACGGAAGTTGTCCTTTGGGGAAAACTGGCTTCTTTTTAAGAGGGGCCTGATAGAGGAAAGCTGTCAATGGCTTTGGTTTATAGGCCCACTTGAGATAGATGAGGGTCAAACAAATTCCACAGGCTGTGTGTGCTTGCTGAGGAGATGACAAATGGTGACATAGCTTGCAGTGGGAAGTACACTTCAAAACATATCCTCTATTAGCAAGCACCTTATTCATAGCAGAATTCCACAATGAAGTGTGAAATACCTTTGGACTTAAAACAGTGCCTTAATACACACTTTTGCTGTTGGTATATACTTGTGTGCTGCCTAAAAAGAGGTCTTAGAATGTTGAACAGCATCATTTAAACATGGTAGGGGTAATGTTACTATCTGCATTTTTTTTAATAATTCCCCACTAGCCTTTACTAAATACAAATTACTTCCTTAGAATTGCATTGTGCTTCATCTTGTATCCTAAGGAGCAGTCTTTGTTTAATATTTGATAGGAAATTTAATGTTTTGCAATATCAAAGTAAAGCTTTACTCATTCAGAGTAATAATTCCCATTATTATTCCCAGAATATTCTGTATTTCCAGTTTTACTTAAAAACATCCAACTCAAAAGGGAGTGAAATTGTCTCAGTCTTCTGCAGCGAAAAGTTTGGACTCCATTCCAGGACTGAGGAGTTTTGTCAGTGAGCACTGATACGTCTGTGTCTCCGTGCATGTCTGTATACTTGTATATGTCTGCGTGTAATGGGGTCTGCACCTATAGGTGTACATATATATGTGTGTTTATGTATATGGTGCATATGGGCATGCATCCTGGGGAACACATAAATAAACGTGTGGGCTTTTAATGGTTCCTAAGAGATGAGACAAAATACCCTTGACAGTGAGCTTTGATAGATTGTGGTTCCCAGGACAGGAGTGCAAACTTGTCTGGTGTTCCACCTGCATAAGCAAAGCTTAAAATCTTGCACTCTGTTCCCAGCTCTTCCATTGTTGTCTTGGACTTGCCAACTTGCTGCTCTGTTCATGGCAATGGAAAGCTTAATTACTTAATGCTTATTAAAGTACTTAGATCTTCAGATGAAAGGTGCCATAAAAATGCAAGCCATGATTATATACTTTGTGTGTGTACCTAGTAGCTATGGAGTCTATAATAATGTAACACTTACCTAACTTTTGTTGTACTTTGCTTAACCTGCTGGCACAAGTTGTTAATGAGATATTGACAGATATGGCATTAAAACAACACTGTGTTTTGGAACATAAACAAAAGGACTTTGGTTTTTTCTAGATTGCTCACCTACATGAAAGTTGAAATGTTTTGTTACCTGTATTTGTCAACATTAAAACGTCCAAGGCATGTTTTAACAGAGAGAGAAAAGCTCTGTTTTCCTGGTTCTTATTAGCAAGTGCTTTCAAACTACTTTGGTTCTGGAATCAGACACTTAAGGGCATTTTGTATCTTATCCATTATATTTGAGACAGAAGAGCTGTACAAGCAGAAGTAGAATCAAATGTGCTGTTTTTGTTTTGTTTTGTTTTTTTCAAATGAGAGCTACTGACATCACATAGCAGGAATAATAACCAACATGATCTGATATTTAACTAATTTATAATGCATCACTGGGTCATTAAAGCATAAAAAATTATTTTTGTTGGATGGGTATAGATCTGGATGAATTCCAGGAAACTGGACATTCTCATTCCGTGGCAATATTCACTATTTACACCATAGAAAGACAGCAAAATATGGCTAAGCATGTTGTATTCAAGTAGGTAGCATTTCCTACCAGATCATTCTGCCACAATGCTGTATATACTCTACACAATTCTCCAACTGGATTAAAAGTACTTTTTAAATGTCTGTTTCATGTTTCAAAAATAAAAATATTTCCTTCAGTATCAACGCCCCAACCATTCTGTCCAGTCATCCATTTTACTTTGTTGCTTGAAATCATATATTTTTTACTGTCACAATTTTAGTGTTGTCTTCCTACCTCATAAAGCAAAGGGCCTAATCCTAAACTGGCTACTGAAAATTCACACTGGAAGCACTTGGAGCTTTGGGTGAAAAAAAAAAAAAGCACACTTGGGTCAAAAATGTAGGTTAAATGTACTGAAAGGGTTTCAGATGTAGCATCCATTCTTAAGTGAAACAATAGTGTTCTGTTTAATGCATTATTATTTTTTCTTCACTGTTCACAGTACTTTTTATGAGCAATATTTTTTAACTTTGTGCAAACTGGCACATAAAACAAAGATGTTGATAATGTTAATCACTAGGTGTTAGCTGCAGGTGGGCAGTAAACAATTTAGTGTGATTTGTCCCACTCTTCTACTCTCTATATAGTGAGAGCAAGTCAATAGAGCAAGCAATTCTAGAATTCAATAGAGTTTATGCTTTCAAAGTTTTAGATAGATCACTGGATTTTCAACTGAAAGAGAAACATGCATGTGTTAATGGGTATGGGGTTTGTTCTATTTGGTTTGTTTGTTTTGGGGTTTGGTTTGTTTGTTGGTTTGTTTGTTTTTAATGCCAGTGTGGTGCAGGTGAAATAGAAAAAAAACCAGAAACATGCATGTGTTAATGGGTATGGGGTTTGTTCTATTTGGTTTGTTTGTTTTGGGGTTTGGTTTGTTTGTTTTTAATGCCAGTGTGTTGCAGGTGAAATAGAAAAAAAAAACCTCTGAATCATACAGTACATGTGGTATAGTAGTGACTGTCTATACAGTTGAAAGAATAGTAATTATTATACGGACATGAAAAACAATACCATTTTTAAAATATTCATTTCTTTGTGAAGTGCAAATTATGTGAACAGT